TAGGGTAACAGCTATAGGGCAAGATTGTGAGTAGCTCTAAAGCCAACAGATTAGCATAAGTTAAGTCATAAAGGAATGTGCATGTGAAGTGACCAGTTAGAAGGACAGGACAGAAGGACCATCGCTGTACCAAGCCTGGACCCCAGACTCCCAGTGTGAGTGAGGACCGGATCCTAATCAAGGGACATTCCTGGTGACCCTTTGGACAGCATCGATTGGGGATGCCTGACTTTGCTGGAACAACTTGGTGTGCACCTGGCATACAGGGACTGCCGATAAGTTGCCAACCCCATGTGGGAACTCTTTGTCATTCTGTCTATCTGTTGTTATCATTCACTATTAACTCTTTATAACTGTACTATCTGTTTGTCACATTAACCTTTCTGTTAACTGTTGTATGCTAAACTATAAGTAAATTTGCCTTTACTTCACTCCTGACTCACCTCCTTGATCCAGAAGCCAGCAGCCTAACAGCTCATACACTCACAGGGCCTAGCCGGCCTGTGACACAGTGGCAGCAGCCCCTCCATCCCCAACACCCACCCACTCCATCTCCACCACCTCCCTCGGTGCAGTGGGGCTTTCCTCTGCCTGTGGTGGTGGCGGCGATGGTGGCAGCAGTTCCATCCCCTCTACCTGCCTGCTTGCCTCTGCCTCCACCTCCTCCCATGGAGCAGTGGAGCTTCTCTCCCCCTGAGGAGGCATTGGCAGCTCCTCCTTCCCCCCTGCCTGCCCACCTCTGCCTCCTACCCGCCCAGCTGCCCACCTCTGCCTTCTCCTGCAGAGCATCAGGGTTTCCCTCCACTTGAGGTGGTGGCAGCAGCTCCCTCCCCACTACCCGCCTGCCTGCCTCCACTTCTGCCTCTGCCTTCTCCTGCAAAGCAGTGACGCTTTCCTCTAACTGAGAAAGTGGTGGTGGCAGCGGCTGTGGCAGCTTGTCCCTTCCCCCACCCACCCACCTTCCTCCACCTCTGCCTTTGGCACCACACATTGCACATGCAGGTGTTCCCCATGTTGCTACCTTGCAGCAGAGTTTCTTTATTTAATCCCAGTTTTCCTTTGTCCATGGGGCCTAGCTTCCCCTCCTTATTACCTACCTGTGCAAAGAGGCATGATCCAGAGTCTGTGGAGGGGTACTGCCTTGGCCCATGGACATGGATTTTGTGAGGGTGGGGAGCAGGGAGTGTCCTGGCAGAGATCATAGTGCAGCAGCTCTCTTTGGGGCAGGCTGCCTATGTTCTTGATATGGCAAGTTGAAGGAGACTAAGCAGTATCTTGGGGCCTCAGTAAGATCAATGGTTTGTCTCTGTGGCTTCAGACTAATGGTTGTATAAATCTGTACTACTATAGCAAGGCCTACAAGAAGCAAGTTCTTGGGCAATATAAGGCACTGTGGGAAGAAATGAGTTTGAAAAAGGTGAAAAAAATGTGGTGTACTTTGCAACCATAAGAGATGGTGGGAAGCAGATCTTTGCTTGCAGTTGGAACTTCATTTATCAGGTGATTGTCTATCATGGAATGACTGAAGATCTTTTTCTTTCTGTATTTTAGCATGAGAATCTTTCTTCTAGTGCAGATAACCCAATTATGCTTAACTTAGAGCATTATGGAGATGTACTCGTCACTTACTATATCTATTTAAAAATGCTGATATCAAGAAATTTTTTCAGAGAAAGCAGGTACTTCTTGTGAAAATTTTGTTCTGTGAAGAACCTGCTTTTCTACACAGACATTTTTTTCATCCAGTTGTTGCCATTTCATATGGAGCAACTTCGTACCTTAGGATGGAACCATTCATGTTCTAAGCAATTTTCCATATCTAATTCAAGTTGAAAAGGGCATCCTTGCAGGAGAAATTTCCAGATGATCCTCCTCAGCAAAGCCGAGTTTGTAATCATTCTAATTAAGAGAAAGAAAACAAATAAAGTAGGTGCATATTTTCGCACTAAGACATCTGGGAACAATTACTGCAATCTCCTAAAAGGAAAGTTTGTGATAAATGTGCAAGCCCCAAGACTGAGATATGTACCACACTCCTGGGATTTTATCCCTCACTGACTTTTAATAGCAACACAAAAACACCCCACTCCTCCGCCTGTATATAAATTGAAAAGTGAGCAGTCTGCCTCTCTGTGAAGCAGAGAGACACAATAGTTCTACCCTTCTGCGGAGGTGGAATTCCCTATCCCTTCAGCACTGCACCCTGGATACAGTGAACATTCCCACCTTCCTAAGTACTGGTATTTGAAAATGTGCTTGGTTGCAATTACAAGGGTGACAAATGGCACCTGAAGTTATTGTTTTGTTTCATGTTCAAAAGGGGATGAGGCAAAACTGGTAGAATGGATACGTTCATGAAACATATAGAAGCCTCTGTGATACAGATGACAGGCTGCTAGCTAAATGAGCATCTGAGTTACACACTTCCAATCTGGAATTAGATCCACCTTCCTACTTCCCTAAAGAGAAGCATTCTTCAGGTCTGGAGCTCTGTGTTATAACCCTGAACCCGTAGCAAAATAAGCTGTAGATGAAAAATCAGGATGGGTGTGGGTTTCCTGGATGCTCGCGGGGGACCTCAACTGCATCATCAGTGAGGAAGACAGGGTTAGCAGAGTCAGCAGGACAGGCACGGACAGATCCTCCAGTCAGCTGAAGCAGCTCATTCATGACCATAGCCTGGTGGATGCAGCCAAAGGCACCCAGGGACCTAGGGGACATTTCACCAGAGTAGATCCTGCGGGCAGCACCAAGTCCAGAATCAACTTTGTTTTCCTCCCCACGGGCTGAAAGGCAGAGAAGGCCCACTGTACACTCATGTGTTTCTCAGACCACTGCTTCCTCAGCCTCCAGGCCAACCTGGGGATACAGCTGGAAACAGGCAGAGGACTGTGGAAGCTGAACTGGAAGACAAGCGGATCAGACACAGCTACAGAGAGTGTTATGCGGGCTGGAGGATTTAACTCCTCTCATCTGGAACTCCCTCCCCCTTGAGTTCTGGAAGCATTTTCTGGAAGCACCCCAGGAAGCAAAGATAATTTGGGGTATTGTTTGGGAAGTATATGTTAATATAAGTTATATTACTTGTAACAGACCCACTTCATCTACACTAGAATGATCCTAACAATGTCAACCCATGTGATTTATGTAATGCTCTTCCCTCCACCCATAATCATACAAACTTTCTCCCAGCAGGTACAAAACAGTGTGGTACATGCAAACCCATAAGCATGGCTCTGGGCAATCACACCACAGTGAACTACTTCATCCTCCAGGGGCTGACAGATCATGAAGACCTGCAGATTCCCCTCTTCATGTTGTTCCTACTGATTTATATCACCACCCTTCTGGGGAACCTGGGAATGATCCTGTTGATCAGGTACAGTTCCCAGCTTCACACACCTATGTACTTCTTCCTCAGTAACTTGTCTCCTGTTGATCTCTGCTATTCTTCAGTTTCTGCTCCAAAGTTGCTAGATGACATCTTAGGAAATGCCAAAGCTATTTCCTATAGTGCCTGTGTTGCCCAGACTTTCCTTTTTTTCTGGTTTTTGACCACAGAAGTGTTCCTGTTGGCTGCGATGGCTTATGACCGCTACACAGCCATCTGCAACCCACTGCTCTATACTGTGGTTATGAGTACGAAGCTTTGTGTTCAACTAGTGGCTTGGTCATATCTCGGGGGTCTTTTGAACTCACTGACACACACGTGCAGCTTGTTGAGACTGTCATTCTGTGGACCCAATATCATCCAACATTTCTTTTGTGACCTCCCTCCTTTACTGAAGCTTGCCTGCTCAGATACCCATATCAATGAGATTCTCTTCTTAGTCTTATCAACAGCTATAGGCTCTTTCAGCACATTGATTATCATTATCTCCTATTTGTACATTCTGTTTGCCATCCTAAGGATCCATTCGGCTGAAGGAAGATGCAAAACCTTCTCCACCTGTGCCTCTCACCTGACAGCTGTCATCGTCTTCACAGGGTCTCTTATTTAGTTACATCCAACCTATTTCCAACTACTCACTGGAGCAAGAGAAAGTGTCAGCCATGTTTTATTCTCTTGTAGTTCCCATGCTGAACCCCCTGATCTACAGCCTGAGGAACAAAGAGGTGAAGGATAACCTAAGAAGGACAATTATCAGGAAAAAACATTTTCAATTAACTTAATTCTCAGAATGAATGTGATAATTTGCTTGAACTGATTGGAATAAATAGGGAAGTTAACTTCTGTCAGTGAGTAGAGTTTTCTACTACATAAATGTTCTTCCACATGTGTGTGGAGTCCAGAATTGCTAATGCTGCAGTGTATGGTTGGCTTTAAAATATTGGAGAGTAAAGTGTGGCTTTGATTTTCTCCAGCTGCTGTTAGTGATTATTAAATCAATTTCATAAACACATGAGGGGAACATTCTTATTTCACTTACATTTTTAATGAATTGAAATAAAATTAAGCTTAAGTTGATTTCACTTGAAAATTAAATTAGGTAAATTTAGGAACTTTTCAACTGAGCGTGATGCTCCACACAATCCTTTGCCTCACTGTAATGATAATATTTATTAAAAATATTAATTAATGGTGGTTAATGATGGTTTGATGTAAATTTGAGGTTTTTACTAAATTAGATTTTAAGTGAAATTGCTTTTCATACTAAAAATGATCTTTCCACCAAAAACTGGAAACTTTATGAAAAAAAATGTTGGCAAAGGATTGATTATTAGAAACATTTAAAATGTATGTACTTCATAAATGTTGTTGTGATCTCTCCTAGGAGTTGTATTTTATCCAGCACCATCATCCAATTGCCATTTAACTGCAGGCTCCCAAGCCTCCATGAGTTATCATGATGAGCTGATTCTAGTGATACACCATGACAGCTTGTTTGGAGAGTATATGTTAGTGCAGGGGTGCCCATCCTGTGGGTTATATGCTACAAGTGGCATAGGCAGCTGCTGTGTGTGGAGCCCCACAAAGTCAGTAAAGGGAGGTGCTAGAATAGAGACTAGGAGGCTAAAGCCTGCAGCATGGAGAGAATTATGGGCAGGATGCTGCTGCCAGAGGAGATGTATGTGCCAAAAGCCAGTTTAATCTTTCTATGGCTATGCAGCCAGTGCTGAATTCAGACCTTTGTATTTTTCACCCTATAGCACTGTGGTTGTTGTGGGGGCAGGAAAAGGTTAACCCGGGTCCTGGTGGTGACACTTCTTTTAAAATTTTCTGCCCCTGGTCCACTCTGTGAAGCTGGAAGCCCAACTCCTCCTCACCCATTCTGGCCATCCTAGGGTTCAAACTCTGCCATGCCTCTGGGGGTGGGGATCAGAGTGGCATTGCAGGAGGGTAAGGGCTTAAACTGTGACACTCCACCCAAAGAAGTTGACCACCACTACCTAACCTTACAGCTATCAAAGGCTGTTTCACCTAGTGCAAGCACTGAGGTTGGAAAGCAAGGCTTTTGGTAAACCTGTGCAGTATAGATGATTGTATGTGAGATTCCTAATAGAGAGAAATATTTGTTAACCCTTTTTCAATGTCACTTAGTGTATGGATAGACCTCATTTAAGCATTTGAAATGGCAGCTGCACTTCAAAAATGGAGCATTTAATATATGGATAGACACGCAACCCAATGCTATACTTCAGCCTGAAGACTTCAAAACTGCTGTAGCTGTGTGAAACAGCTCTGCTCTCCGGCCGGTGATGCAGCATAAACCCAACACCACCAAGAACCAATTAAGGAAAAGAGGGATCCACACTTCCAGAGCAGCTGCTCCATGAAACTGGAGCTGCCCCAAGGAGGGAGAGAGAGCAGAAGAGCCCCAATGAAGACAGGGGAGGAGGTGGGGCAACCCAGAATGAGAGTCAAGCTGATTGGGAATGCGGGGGAAGAGGGAAGTGGAAGGATTCCTGGCTGGGGAAGCTGGAGAGCTACGATGAAATGGGAGATGTGAATATAGGATTCATCATCAGGAACGCAATCCTGGACCTGGTGCAACTTTGAGAGCCAAAAGAGTTGACTGAGCCCTACAGTTCTAAGTAGAACTTTTCTCATATTTCTTTTCAAGTAGTGAGTCAGGCTAAAGCCACATTATAAAGAAGAAACCAAACAGAGAAATGATAAGCCTGACATCATTTAGAGACTTAAAGGGGAATGAACCTTTTTTTGTTCTTATTAGACTGATACTCTTAAAAGAAAGAAAAAAAAAGGAAATTAGGCTCATTGAACTCAAAGGACAGGAACTAGTTTTTGTTGTTGTTGTTGTTTTACTTCTACGTCTATTGTGTGATGCTTAGAGAAGTATCTAGGATTTAGTACTTACCTCCCCTGAAGAAAAGGCTGAACAGTAGCTTGAGGAACCAGACCCTGTCACTTCTTTCAGCCCATGACATGGTGGTTCCTAAGAAACAAGAGAAATCAATGTAAAAAGTTTAGATAGATACCTAATAAAAGAATCTTATTATAAAGAACACACTGTGAGTTTTCATTTTTGTTGAAGTTCTTTTTTTTTTTTTTGAAAATTTCAAAACGCAAGGGAATTGATCAATAACCCATTTGTCTACTGGTGTTTAAGTTGTACACTCCTGGTATAAATCCATTAACGTTAAGATGTGGCAGGTGAGATCTGGGGTCACCACTGAGGAAAAAAGAAGAGACAGGGGAAAAAAATCAGGTAACTTGAGATGGATCTGAGTGACTGTATTACATACAACAAGAAACTAGACAGAACTCACAGTTGGACATGGATATGCACATATGGCTGGGAGAGCATATATTGCGGGGGGGGCTGATAATTCAGGGGTTTGGAAAGCAATGCATAGAACTGGGGGGTCTTGGTAGGTCTGTGGGGTCTGTGGAGACTATTGGGAACTGTCAGTAGGTCTGCAGTATAGCATGTGGGAAGCAATTTTTTTGGCAACATAAGGGACTGAGAGAGATGGTGAATGTGGGAACCTTGAGGAAAATGTGATGTGCTGTGGGACCACTGGGGAAATGTGCTGAGGGGCCATGCATGCTTCTGGGGAAAAAAGTGGTTGTGATGGACAATTCACAAACATGGCATTTATGATTTAGGTGGCTGGGATTAGGGTGGTGGTGACAGGAACAGTGAATGTTGGAGGCATGGGAAGGTTGGAATGCAGGAAGATGCACTTTGGTTGTGGTCAATGATAAGAGGCCTACAGGCTGGATGAAATGTAGAGAGATGGTCTTGTGAGGCAATAAGTAAGAACTAGTGCATGAATTAGTTGCAGATCTCTTTGGCAAGCCAGGCAGCCTTTGGCTTGTCCCACCAATGGATATCCTGAGAACAGTGATGAGGCAGGCTCAGCTGGTTGTGGTAGGAGGGAATAAGCACTTTTTCTCTGGCCCAGAATTGAGACAAGCTTGGGTATATGCATCCAGAGTAGGTTGGGGGTGACCACCAGAAGCATTCTCTTAGCTTTTAGGGTAGACTTTACTAGACAGTAAGCCTGCCCTGGCAAGGCACCTACACATGTGGACATTTGGAAGCAGATGTGGTCCTTACGGCAGTAGCCTACTCCAGACCTCTTCTGGTCATTCACTGCCCCCCTGCAGCAGCCAGGGGGAGCCAGAAACTCTAGCCACTGGTGCCTGTGGCCAGAGGCACTGTTTAAAAGCCAGCCCTGTGTGGTGCTACTCGGCAACCTGCATTGATGGCCAAGAGCAGCCTGCAGTGTGCTGGCACAGCCCTCTCCAAATCTGTCACCAGAGCCTGTGCCCACTGTGAAATGGCTGCTCCACCCCCAGGCCCCAGCAGTGATGACCATGTTCTAGGCTCCTGCTTGCCACCCTGCTCACCATGCTTTACCATTGAGGTGACTGCTGCCTGGATCAGGTCATTCTCAGCCCTGCCTGTTATTACCAGATTTGCCCATCACTTTGGAGTGTCCTCATTTATTAGGGATGCATTTCTGGGGGCTCTGTAATTCTATCAATGTGCTGCTTGTGTCACTTATGTTTCTATATGTAGCTGTATCTCTCCCTTCTACAAGTCCTCACCCCCAATGGAGCTATCTTGCTGGACTCAGTTTCAATGGGGCTGAGTTCCTCCAACCACCAAATCACTCAAACACATATACACACAGATTAACAGGGCATGCCTGAGCCGGGCCAGGTTATTCAGCACTGACAGGCTAATGGCCTCATATGCCCTGAACTCAGTTCATCAGGGCAACAATAAAATACAGTCAGACACAAGCACATGGGTTAACAGAGCACATCTGAGTCAGTCTAGGTTATTCAGCATTGATAGGCTGACACCCTCATGTGCCTTGAACTCAGTTCATCAGGGCAGCAATAAAATGCAGTTAGACACACCTACACCCACACTAACAGAGTATGTCAGAGCAGGCTGGGTCTGATCACAACTTTCAGCTGATACCTTCATGTGCCTCAAAACTCAGCATGTCCCAATCTCTTGTCACAATGGTTCTAGTAGTAAATCCCTTGAATAGCAGACCCCACTATAGTTTGGGGCATCACAGGGATCTTTGGCTTAGGTAAAATAAGTGTTTCTGTGAGCAAATGGGGAGGTTGAGGGGAAGGAAGAGTCCATGAGTTTCAGAAAGAGAGTATAGCAAACAGCTTGACCATAAAAGTTATTTATTGCCAGGTATATGAACTTATGAAGATACCAGTAGTAATAGTCATACAGGAGAGACAACTAAAACAGTTACAATATTACATAGTTTCAATTAAGTATTTGGGGAAGTCTAGCTCAAGTTTGATCAGCAACACGAGTGCCAGCTGGGTGGGCAGCACCTATGATGCTCATGTGTTTTGGAATGCTGCCCTGCCAGGTTTGGTGGAAAGCAGGTGCTTCATGCCAGGAGTGCTGGGCCTCCAGCTCGGTGAGATGATGTTCCCACCCCTCCTCATTTGAGACACCACCTACCCACTCCTCCCATTGCTAATGTGTCCCTACACTGGCCAGCTGGACCCCCGCCAAGCACATTTCAACAGATGCCTGGGCCAGTCCCACATGCTGGAAAGCATGCCTTCAGCTGCCTGAAGGGATTCTGGTGCACCCTCACCATGCACCTTGGGGTCATGAAAGCCAACATCCCCCGGGTCATGACCACAGCCTGTGTGCTGGGGGTTCTTCTGTGTGGCATGGGCAGAGGAGGCACAGTGGATTGAGGATGCATGGAAG